ACTATATAAACCAATAATATAATGATATCTGAACTATCTTTTTGTATAGTATATATGGGGTGTTATAAAATTGATGGACAGATTCACAACGTTAAAAGACGTTTATATAGTACGATGTTTTTTGTTTGTGTTTGAGAGTTCACGTCAAATTTCTCCAAAACAGATTGAGATATCAGTTTTGGTGCATACAACTGGATTATCAAAGGTAACCTATTGATATATACAAAATTGCGTTCAAAAGCATTCGCATCAGTGATGTTTATGCCAGCAAGTCTCTATGTACGCCATTATATCGTATTAAACAAACAGAAGAAAGAGTTCCAAAGACAAACTGTTATTTAGCTATCAATTATATAATAACTCAGAACTTAAACAATTTTCTCCTATTATTAATCAGTCGTTTTATACTTCTTAACCTTTAGGCAATAATAAAGCTCCGTGATGTCAAGTTTCTAAATACCCCTTTGTTGTCGTTTAAAGATAAAGAGGTTTAAGCCGCTTATTTGCAGTTCATATATTCATATATTACATTAATATATACAGGGTTACTCCGAAGTTGAGTCATTTATTTTAACAGTGAGTAGATCTGATCAAAAGAAATTTTTTGTTCCTTTAACATTTTTCTGGTAAAATTAAAGTAACAAGGTTATAGCCCCTTAGAAGTTTGAGTACCGCCCTGTCTCAATAATAATATAATGTGCTCGTGTTTGGCAACAACGGATATAATCCGCCTTATCGGTTCATCGCATCGGAAACAAAAAGCGAAAGAATTTGAAACGCTTATCACGATGTTTTTACTACAATTTTATTCAGTTGTATTCAGTCAATGTGTCAGTCGGTAACGCGTGAGTGAATAGTGGTGTTTGTTGCGTGGCTCAAACGAAATAAAAAATGGCACATGTTTACGAAAATGCTGAACTTGTGACATGATTCTTATTTACGAGGGGGGGAGTCTTTACAAAATGCTGCCGCGGCATCACGGATTTATGCGGATCGGTTTCTCAATCGAGTGCAACCAACCCCTCGTGCCTTTGTTAATGTAGTACAAAGGGCTCGTGAATCAGGTGACTTAAGACCTCACAGGGGAGGGCATGCCGGTGCTCCAAGACCGCACGATCAAATACAGGTCCGCACTGAAGTATTTGTCGGGAGGATACTTTATAAAACAAGGTAAACTTCTTTATTTTTTTTTATTTTTAGACATATATTTTGGTTTATCTTCCTTCTACAATCATTATCTGAAAATTAATGACTCAACTTCAAAGTATATGAGGTGTACGACGAAGATATAAGTGTGGTTTTTAACTGTTAGGAGAAATAAAGCGTACATATAGCTTAGCAAACTGTGTAGTGTTGGAAAGCTGAAGTATGCAGTGTAATTATAGATGCGTATTTAATTTATGTAATACTCAACTAACTTAACTGTCGGATACTAGGACTAGAGTACGTGTCAAGAGAAATCATGCAAGTACCAATGCGTTTCGTTGTTTTATTATAGAGTTTACATCCATCATATTAGCTCCAAATCATAATAATATTGTTTTGTCATATTATGGCAGATTGATACCACCAGTTAATAGTAATAGTCGTAATAACGGTGTTTAAATATGTATGTCTTATGGAAGCGTTTCTAAAAACTGTCTTAAGCATAATCATAGGTGAAGTTCGTAACTATGCTTATGACTCAAACGTCATTCTACCAAATCTGTGTCAAAACTGTCACATGACTTGATTCTTCATAACTAATTAACGACATCCTTACCTACATTTTCACAACACATCACAGAAGTATTACTATTATTTCTCTCTAGTATCTCCCTTGTTAGGGGTGTTCGTATACGCGACCCCAGAGGTGGGAAGCAGTTCTGTTGAATCTACCTTAGTATGTTTCAGTCACCCAGAATCCTGCGAACCGTTCTGCAGATTCCTATTAGAGCAGTCCTTAGAACTTGTGGCATATATTTTCGTTGATGTATGTTCAGGCTTGTTATTATTATTATTGTTATTATTATTACTATTATTATTATCAATATTATTATTATTATTAATATTATTGATTATTATTACTATTACCTATTATTATTATTATTATTGCTATTATTATTATGATTATTATTATTATTATTAGCTTGTTTATTGTACAGTAAGTTATTATTTTTTTATATTGACCAAGTAAGGTTAAATCCCTTAAATCTATTTTCTGAATGCCCTGACAAAATGAAAAAAGGCTTATGACTATGATCAAAACAGTTGTAAAAATATGCTCCGAACTGATACCTATGACTGATTATGTTTAATGCTTATGACTAGGACTATTAAAAGTTCCATGAGCCCGCCATTTGACATCTGTCATATGGGACTTGGAACGACCCTTTACTGTATCGCTCACCTAGTAAGCCCAAATAAATATTTAAGGTATTCATTTCCAGTACATCAGTCGTGTCGTTAAAACCGCTTCCCAATAACATTCGTACTTTCCTCATAAAATTACTCTTCCGCTACGTTGGGATGTATCTTTGCTTACTTATAACTTTTCATCTTTCATTCTTGAGTTTACGACATAGCTGAAATTGTCCTACAGAAGACGTTATTACAATTTTTTGTTACTATTGCGGAACATCACGGGAGAACTATTTATTCCCCGTCCGAAACTCAATTTTAAACTCACATTCATTCTAGAATAAAAAATCACCTTCCTCAAATTCCTAGGTTACGGGCTAGAAGCTAGCTACAGTGAAAATAATCTTGGTTCACGACTACTACTTAGGGCTAAGATATACCGGTCAAAGGCAGGGGTAAGCATCGAGAAAGATTTATTGCCCGCACTATTATGACACATAAATATGTATAATACTGATGAGGAAACTACTCCGACTTACTTGGGGCGTTACCAGAGCATCCGTCGGCATACCAGCAAATTCGTGGGTAGGGATTGCAATCCCGCAGCTCATTTAATCTCGCGAGATTGATAGGCGAGTTTCATCCATCCTGCGCGGGATCCCTAGAGATCCACCCCCTTTAAAGCAATATTTTATAATTTCGAAACCTACTATGTTTTTTAATCTATGTCATGTCTCCACAATGCGTTGTGAATTGGAAGTGATCCCTTCCTTAACAGAGGAGTCATTGAATATGAGTTTTTCACGACAATGTTTTGCCAACTTGGACTCAGCAGTAACCTTTAGTCTTCAGACTAGGTAGAAGGAGCCATTCAAGGATTTGCTTGTCTTCTAATTCTCATAGCCTGTAGTGAGGATCAAAGTTCTCTTGACAGAAGTAATTTTTTACAACTTAGTGTATCGTGGTGTTGGATGATTTAAAAGCTTTGTACTTCTTTCATAATTTGCAAAGAGCGGCACAAGCCTAATGAAGGTAGAAGCTTCCGTCGGCCAGAGTCATTATAATGCCTTCATCCTGGTAGGCATTGGTAGACATATGAGTCAAAAGTATGCACTAAAACTACGCAATTTTGGCGACAATGCAATGTAAACTTATAGGTTTGGATTCTTCTAATGTTCGAATCTGTTGGTACGTAGCAAGGAGAAAAGGATTACCGGACAAAAAGACAGACCAATAGACAGACAGATAGAAAGACACTTTTTGTCTTCTGAAAATATTCAGAAAGCAGATAATTGAACATGTTTTTATAGGTAATTGCGAATAATGATCTCTCAAGAGTTGATCAAATTGAGTATCTGGATGTATGGTTCGATGAGAAACTAGCCTTTAACCATCATATTTACTTAAAAATACCAGGTGCATGCAGATTCTATGGATTTCTAGTCATAAACTGTAAGGCGTTCGGTGATATAAATGTCCCGAAGCAGTTATATTGTGTATATATCAGCTCGGGTTGAAAAACAGCATAAGCTGACACTCCACTTTTTCATCACTATTCTTTTTAAGCCAATTACTTTGTAATCATGTGACGAATAAAGGCCATTTACTATTATTATTATTATTATTATTATTATTATTATTATTATTATTATTATTATTATTATTATTATTAGTGTTGTTTGTTTCCTCTCGTCTCTGGACGGTTTTCAGGAGTAAACAGGGAGCTCGACAGGAGATATTTACCCTAGCACTTTCCTTAGGTTATGTGCGGTGGTACCCAGCAATGCAATCTTTTGGATTTCAGTTTCCCTGGGCCGGCCTGGTAAGATTTGAAGGTAGTTGTTTAGAACTATTTTAATTGTTCCCAGATCGCCCACAACTATGGGTACAGTTTTAGCTCTAACATGCCACATTCTACTGATCTCTATCTCTAGGTATTTATATTTACCTGTTCGATATAATGTTATGAATATGCTTTGTTTGTTACTAATTCTACAGCACAGCATTCCAATGACAGCTCGGTGGTATAAGGCTTCAGATCGACAGGGATAAAAGAACTTCTAAGATCATCCAAAATAAAAATGGCAACACCCCCATGAGCATGATCTGACCTACAAAAGCAAGAGCATAAATTAAAATTTGGTATATTAATCATTTTAGTTGATCCTCACACAATCAGTGTTCAGAGAGGCATAGAAGCTCAGCATCAGAATTTGTGTCACCTAAATAACAGGATAACTCGTCAATTTTATTTGATAAACATTGAATGTTTAAGTGAAAAACGCTAACTCTTTGAGCAATTTTACATATTTGGTCGTCAAGAACATTTAAAAAGAATGTTTAACATTATTAATTATTATTGTCTCTATTATTTACATTATTTTGTTTTTGGGAGTTGTGGCTAGGATACCGCTTATTTTGGCTGTGCCTCCAGTCACGATTTACGTATCCGGAAGGCCTTCTATAGATCCACGTCTTGAGACGGACGCCACAGTTCCAATTTTGGGGCCTCATTATGGTAACTAATACGGTGTTTGGTACTGTTAAACGAAACGAGCAAAAACTTCCTCCTGTGTTTAACTTTTCAACTAAATAGTTCGACATCGACAGATGATTTAAGTATTTCGTAACCATTTCTTCAGTCGTGTTGACGTCTAGGTTTAGACGTTTAGAACTGAACGTCCTTGAAGGCCGTTTTCGGCTCCGGCGGTGCTTAGTGTAGGCTCAACTTCACCTACGATGATCAGTAGCTTGTTATTTTCCCTAACCTTATTAATTTCTTGGTGGTTGTCACTGGTACCAGGAGATGGCAGCACTGGCGGCGACACGGAGGTTGATCTGGTGGATGTGCGGTGAGTGCGACGACTTTTGGCTACGTCGTGAGGTGGCGCTGTATGATTTTGAGTGGTGTGGTTTGCGGTTTGCGTGCTAGGTGGCATTTGAGTTGGAGCGTCTGAATTTTTACTTGAATTTCGGTGTTGCCATGGTTTTTCCAAAGTATTATTGTTTTTCTCCAAGATGGAGATTTTGAACAGCAATAAATAGGCACGTCCCACATGACAGTGGTGCCGTTAAGACTTAGTACTCTTTCTGGAACGTGCTCGTACTACTTGCTAGCCACGGACAACCCTAAATCTTTACATATGGTCCAGTGGACATAGCTAGCGACGTTGTTATGCCTGTGAGTGTACTCGCTGGGCGCCAGCACCTTGCAACCTGCTATTACGTGACTGATATGCTCTTCTGCCTGACCTCATACTCTGCAGTTGCTGTCTGTTGTCTGCTTCAAGATGTTTGTTATATAATACCGTATTTTTAGTACCTGGTCTTGTGATGCAACTAAAAGACTCTCAGTCTCGCACTTTAGTCCAGAGCTCTGTAACCACGCCATTGTCGCCTGTTCGTCTATGGATGGCTTATCGAGGTTTAAGAAAACTTGACCGTGCAGAGGCTTGTTTCTCAAGACTTGCTTTTTTTCGATTTCAGCGTTACGGCGCACATGTCTTTTATGTTTTGACCGAATACATCAGAGTTGAGATACTTAGCTTTGATTTTTATAGCTTCCCTGTGAAGCGAGTATTTCAGTTTTTCCTCATCATGATGCATAACAGCTTTCAGAAGTTTATCGTTACTGGATTTCATATATTCGCTCAGCGGAACTATCTCCGAGTTGAAAGCAGACTCAAGCTCTATCAGTCCTCTCCCGCCTTCACGACTTCTGATATACAACCTCTGAACATCAGCTTTAGGATGATGAATTTTGCCCATGGTAAGGATCTTTCGCGCTTTCCAGTCGATTTTCTCAACGACTGATCTCAGCCAGTCAACCATCCCAATTATTATTTATTATTATTTAAACTTCCTTGACATTTTTATATAAACTGTTGCATGACACGATAAATAGTATGCACCTATTATCATTTGGGGTTGAAATTACTCAAAAATCTAATGACCTGAAGTTTGACACCTTTTCCAAACGTGAAGTTCTCGTAATTTCTGGGATTATTTCATTAAATTAATTATTTTGAATGAAAAACTAATGAGCATAAAGTTTGGTTCTCCGGCAGCAGCTAGAAGTGCGTCAAAAGGGATAAAAGGTATGAAAAAAGATGTCATTTTTGAGTTCCACCAGATGTAGAGTTTTTGTGGGTTACTCTTACAGATCTTAGAAATTGAACTTTACCAAGTTAAATCGTTCAGAACTACCCCTAAATGTTTCTATGAGATGGAAGGTGTTTATATATTTTCACGGTAAGAATAGCGATGAAAGCTACAACTTTTGAGTTTTCTCAGATTTCGAGATAATTTTTGTGGATTACCCTTATAATCATGAAAAAGTGATTGTTAAAAATTTTCTCAAAATCTGAGATAACTCTAAAAATACAGCTCTTCTGACAGTTCTTAGGTACTTTATTTTTGCCCCTTTTATCCCCTTCTAGGCACTTAGGGGTGGTTTTGCACGGCTAGGTAGGCGTTGATTTTCAACAATTATAAAAGTAATCTCCAAAAATCATCTGGCAGAACCCCGAATCTCTAGCTTTTTTGCTGTTTTTACCTGTTCTTAACCCCTTTCAGGGACAACCTAACTTTATGCGCATAATTTTTTCATCCAAAACAATTAATTCATGTGAAAATGATCGCCGAAATTAAGGGGAACTGAAGATTCGGAAAAAACTGTCTACAGTCATTAGATTTTCGGGTGATTCTAACACCTAATACCTTTAAGCATTTTCATAAAACAAGAAGTAACGACTCCTGTGATTTTTCATAATGATTTTTGCGGTCTGGTCAATCTGTCTAGGTTTATTCTCAAGGATCTAATGCGTAAGAACAGGCGGAAAAGCTCCTCTTCGGGTTACCCTTTCTCGTGAGCGCTGTGCTTCCGTGCAAGTTGGCAAAAACGAAGTTTTTCGCGATTATACTGGCATGAAAGCAAGAAACGAGTAACATATTTGATATAGGAAAGTTCGAGTCCAATCCTCAGTATCCTGTATCAGTCGTAGGTAATGTTTTCTACAATTTGAAAAAAAAAAAACAAATAACCTGGAAATGACTCACTTTCTACCTAGTTATACTGCGAAAGGTTGGAGAATCTCGAAACTGGAGATACTACAGACAAAATATGTGAATTGACATAAATATACCTCAGTCCAAAAGTTCATAGTTTGCGAGATACAGGGTGTCAAAGTTACAATTTTATTATTATTGCTCGAGAAGTATTTCAGATTTTGGCATAGAACTCGGTATAGGGAGGTTTTCTAGTTTGAGAAACAAGAATCCGTTATTTTTTATGGCGAAACTTCTAGAGGGCGCCACACAACTGACCAAACAATCTTATTTCGTCGCATTTCCACAATAAAAAAGGTTTACTAGTTCGAAGTGTCTGAAGCTTATAGTTTTCGAAATATTTGTTTTTAAAAGTTCCTATGCATTATTTGTATCATGACGATAAAACGTTTTTATAACATAATAATCAAGTTGTTTTGGGTAATATCTGAGAAGCGTTGCTATGGTTTCTAATGTTTGTCATAATATTGCTTTAAACTTCATTAATAATTTTAAGTTGACGATAAGCTGTTAAGCATCATGTAGTATACGGTTGATGAATATTCTCATATGCATTTAATGTACGGATTGTCAAGATGTAATGCTTTAAAAGCACGAAGATTTTACGCTGACAGGTTTCCTAATCGACACCTGCCTAATTCAAAGACTTTCCAACGAATCGATCAGCGGTTACGAGAAACTGGTAAGAAATGATTAAAGCCTTATTTTGGGTAGTAAACACCATTTGGATGTTAGGTAGTTTCGCTAAAAATATGTGCCGACATAGTGGAGCTCCCAGAACTGTACGTATAGCTGAAGTTGAAGAAAATGTTTTAGATGCTGTCTTTGAAAATCCTAAGATTGGGGTTAGGAATGTAGCTCAAGCAACTGCTTCATCCATACCACCTGCAAAAAGTACATGGTTTAAGCGCAGATGATGGACCCGGTGAAATTTTGTATATGTCTCTTAAGGAAGTTTAACCACGACAATGGTGTTACTCCGTTAATATTATTTTCAGACGAAGTGATGGGCCCATTAACTCGCATAATCACAATTATGCAGACGAAAATCTTCATGCAATAATACAAACCCGCCACCAAGTACCATGTCAAATTAATTTACAGGGAGGAATAATTGGACAATATATAATAGGACCCGTTAAGTTACCACCTAAACTAAATGGCCAAAGGTATTTACAATTCCTTGAAGAACAATTACCCACTGTGCTGGAAGATCTACTACAAATACGCACGTGGTTTATGCATGTCGGCGCTCCACCTTATTTTAGTATACTAGTTACAGAGCACCAAAATTGAGTTCATCCAGATCAGTGGATAGGCCGATCAGGACCTGTATCGTGGCCGGCTGGATCACCAGATTTAAAGCCTATGGATTTCTTATTCTGAGGTGATTTAAAACGACGCGCTTACAATACGCCAGTGGAAACTGTAGATGATCTTCGATAAATAATTTTCCACCATAGCCCGGAAATGAAACAAATGCTTTGGAGACTGCAGCAAGGATTAGTTCGTCGAGCACGAGAGTGTGTTAGGCAAGGTGGTGCTCATTTTGAACAGTTTTTGTAGTTATTATTTCCGTTTATTAGTCTCGTTGCCATCCTCATTTGTTATTGTTAAAAACCATAGCAATGCTACTCAGATATTATCCAAAGCAACTTGATTATTGTTATACAAATGTTTTATCACCATGGTACAAATAATGCATTGGAACTTTTAAAAACAAATATCTCGAAAACAATTAGCTTTAGACACCTCTAACAAGTGAACCTTTTATGTCATGGAAATACGAGAAAATAAGATTTTTTGGTCAGTTGTTCTATACAGGGTAGCACAAAAGAGTTATGATAAGTTTATTTGAGTTTTATGCCAAAATATGAAACGCTTCTCAAGGAATAAGGAAAAATAGAAAAAAAAATGTAACTTTGACACCCTGTATTTCGCAAACTATCAGCTTTTGGACTGAGGTATGTTTAAGTCAATTCACATATTTTGGTCTGTAGTATCACCAGTTCCAAAATTTCCCAACCTTTCGCAGTATATTAATTCTGCAACAAAGTAAAATTAATCAAATGTTATAAAACATCTTATATCTGACAATCATATCATTTTGAAGGAGTAAATAAAAAAGAATACCAAAGATTGCAAAAAAGTGTAGCCTTTGTGGAATTTTAGCGGCGATATTTAACCTACGGGATCAGCGGATAAGCATTTTGGAGGTGCGGGATCCCGTAGCTCAATAAATGGGGCGATACCCCAAAAAATGCGGTATTATGTTTTGCGAGATTGCACTCCATATTCATGCTGATACCGTGGCAGTCTACTTGACTTTCTTGTAATATTATTGCACATCACAACATGCAGTCTATGACACTCGATGGTGCTTTGTTTAAGGTGCTTTCATAGTCCCCTCATATACTTGCTAACTTACTGGCCTGTTGCTTTTTCCATGGAATATTAAGCTTATGTAAAGTTTTAATGATGCATACATTATACCGGCGCTATAACAAAAAGTTACCCAGAGGTACTGTAGCGGCTTTTAATTAAGATTTATATCACTTATTAACAATAGGAGTATGACATAATAGGTGATAACTCTGAACGACTATTTAGAGGCGCGAATTACATGCAAGTTAAACGTGAAGATGTCCATACATGGATGCGAATACAATTGCTGCTTCGTAGATGTAATAAATAGACGCAGAATCAAAATTAGCGTCTATAATTACAGAAATATCTAATTGTTATATTAGCATCAACATGTAACGTCTATGCTATTGTTTTACCGGCCTTGAGTTATAATAACTTTTGTGTGTTTCTGAAAATTAGTGATTGGCTAATGAAATCACGAGGTAGGTTTTTCCATTCTTATACT